TCCCTGAAAAACCAGATGTATACAATCAGATACATGCAGTGCACAGATAATTCAACAGGGGATAGTTATTCACTCATTAGCGGGCCTTCCAGTGACACTAGATTGCCATGACTCAGGATTTGGACAGAGGTAGTTTCTGAAGAAGAACTTTACCAAGTTTGATAAAGTTAAGATGAGAAAAACAAAAAAACTTTGAAAATACTTAAAAATTTCATAATCTATGTTTTAGTAAAACCGTGTTGAAAATGACGTATCAAATTTGATACAGCAGGTATATAAGGTCATGTAACTCAGTAAATCAGTCAACTGTCATTTTATTGTATTTCATGCATTATATATAAGAATATATATATAAATATATAATATATAATAGTTTTTTATTTTTAAAAAACATAATTTGGTACATTTAGAGTAAAAATCGATACGTAACATGCTGTATCATATTATATATTATTATCTTATATATATTATAATATATATTATATATATATATATATACTATACATATAATATAGTATATAAGGTGAAGGGAAAGGTTTACAGGACGGTTATGAGATCAGCCATGATGTATGGTTTAGAGACACTAGCAATAGACTTCTACCCAGCCAGTTCCATTAGTGGATTTCTCATTATTGCATCATGGTAGCAGCAAGATTTGTTTGTGTTTTATTATGTTTTTGTTTGTTCATTTGACCATTGTGACCCGATCTATTAAATATGATACAAATTGAAACTCATATATGGAAAATTATATTTGAATTTTTTGTTTGTTTGTTTGTTCATTGATTTTCTTTTCACACATTGTTTACAGGCGTCAATGCTATTTTTTCTTGTTCCTGATGTTTTTGTCCCTGCCCCTGAACAATGAGTAATACAGATGAATTCATTTCATCTACTCCCACAAAATGGTACACCTTCAAGTCTGATGAGTCATAACTAAGCTTTAATTGTAACAGGCCAAGTCCACCATTTAGCATAAAAAACAGGTGTTTTTGTAAAAGCCTCTTAGTGGCTGTCATTTAGGAATAGTTTAAAAGATTTATATAGGATCCCATAAATTTAAGAAAAAGGTTTTGTTCCATCTTTCTGACGAACAACGGTAAAAAAAAAGTTTGCACAGGAACTAGTTGGCGAGTGGACAAATACGCCAGGTCATGTTCTAAATCAGGGGTCTCCAACCTTTTGTTCTCAGAGAGATACTTTAACAAAATATAAATTACTTAAAATTACTCTTGTAGTGTAACATTTATTTCATATCATAGCTCAATTCAAACAGACAAGCTCAATAAGCTTTCTTTGCCTAAACATTTACAATATGTTATTGTCCATATATCACATATCTTTTATTTATTGTCCATATATCACATATCTTTTATTACATCACCAAAGTATGTATAAATTTATAATAAATATTATAATTAGTAGTAGTAGTTGTAGTGGTGTTTTATTATTATTATTATTGTTGTTGTTGTTTGGTAGCATGGCGGTCCACAAAGAACATATGTTTAAGGCCCAGTATTGTTCCTCTATTTTGACCAAAGAACCTGTTTTTATTTATTTATTTTTTTACTTTCTGCAGAATGTCGCCATCCTCTGGTAAAACATAGCACAACCGACCGCAATCTACAAGTGTTTGACAATCGTCATGACATAAACGCAGCACACTTAGCTTTAGCTTTATTAATCAATTCGGAAATTATTAAAGGTTGAGATATAAACATTTTCTAGATCAGTATTAGCATTATTCTTCATTATTTAAATTCTTTAATTTGGTTTTCTACTATCGAAAGATATCTGTTTTGTTGATGTTCCACAAGGGTATTGTAGTGGAGTGACACATTTTATGATATGATTTAATTGAGAGGTTGTTTGGTTTTTGCTCCGCTAACAACAAGTTCCGGCCAAAAGTTTGTCTTCATGTCAGGCCCTCTACTGACGAAAGGGAGCAATCACACTTATTGACGTTTTGGCCTTAAATTATTGAAGAGTGCAATTGCTCTTTTTACTCAACAGAGGGCGTGACGAGGGCCAAAGTTCAAGATTTGACCTGCGGGCTGGCTCACTAGTGGCGCTTTAGCCCAGAGGCAATGTCTCTGTTAGTGGTGTGGAACCCCAGGGTTTACCTCCTGGGCAAGATCAATTCCCGGTTAGGGCAGTTGGTACCTTCCCGTGGACTCATCACCGCAGGAAGGTTTGGAGGCTGGTACGGTGCAGTGTGATTTGGGTGGCGGTCGTGGAGACTGCTACACCCACGACCCGGTAATGGATAAGCGGATAAAAATGGATGACTGGATGGATGGCCGACTCAGTAATGATTGGATGTAGAATCTTTGTGTAACATAATATAAATAAAATGTAGAAGATTTAAACCTAAAGAAAAGTTGGCCATGGTTTTTCCAGTGAATGAAAGTTGGTGTGAGTTCAGTTTGGGGACTGATCTGATGACTTCATCATTAAATTGGGATCTGTGGGCATGTTTGTCCATGTCTGCACTAAACGACATCTAAAAAGTCATTAAGATGAGTGATGACGTCAAATCAAAACTGGAAAATTGTCTGGTTGCAACATGTAGGGTGTTGTGTCAGCTGGCAGGTGGATGGACGGCTTTTGACACCACATGATGATATGTTGGCAGACATTCTACTTTACTTGGAATTCCGGGGGAAGCAGGAAGGAGAAAAAAAACATAACCTCAACATTTCCATGACATTTGACTTCTTTTACTAAGCGATAGCGCCCTTCTCCAAGGGCTTTTGGGCAGCTGCTGAGGAGGTGTTCCAGGGATCCCCGTCCTAGACACAGGGGACAGGATGGTGTCTCTGTTTTGCCCCAGACATGGAGGTTGGTTGGGCTTGGTAGGACATTGAAAACAGCCTGGACTAAAAACCTGATGTTAAGGGTGTCTGCTTTCCAGATGTTGGACCAGGTGATTTTTCGTTGCAGAACGTATACCCATTTAGTCCATGCTCCTTGTTGCCTCATTCCCACCATCCTGCTGGCTCGTTCTTCCTCCACTCCTGCCCGCACTTCCTCCTGAATGAGGTGTTGGCGCTCTTTTCCCTGGGCTTTGTCCACCCTGGTTGCTGGGAAATAGCCAATCCCTGCCCGCCCTGAGGCTATGGACTCCATCAGCACCTTCTGCCTCAGTCGCGACTGCCACTTCCAGAGCTTCGTCTGCCCTCCATTTCCTGCCTGTTTCGCACCTGGATGCCAGCCGATGCCACCTTCACATCCCTGGATTCCCTGTACTGCAGGATTTCCCATGTTGTGGTCACAATGAACTCTTCAGTGAGTCCACTGAACGGGAGCTGCAAGATGTTACTACTTCCGTACAGGGCAGCACTGCTCAGGCTGCGGGGTAGGCCAAGCCATCTTCACAAGTAGCTGCTGATCTTTCTCTCCATGGCCTCAACAGTTGTCATGGGTACTGCATACACTAGCAGAGGCCACAGGATCCAGGGCTGGATGGAATGTTGGTAAATCCAAGCCTTAAATCTCCCTGGCAGGCCTGATTTGTCGACACGCCTAAGCCAGTCCTTGAGCTCCTTGCTGGTTCTCTGGATGGATGTGGAATCTTTGAGGCTGCAATCAATGTACTTCCCGAAGCTCTTAACTGGCTGCTCTGTGATGGAAGGGATGGTGGGTTCAGCCAGAGAGAAACGGAACTTGTCTGTTACCTTCCCCCTCTTGAGCACTTGCCCATGTGATGAGCTTCTCTAGGCCTTGGAGAATCCATCTACTACCTGGGACAGTTAGGTCATCCATAAAAGCTCTTATAGGGGGCTGGCGTACTCCAGATTTTGTCAAGGGTCCCCTACACTCCACTTCTGCTGACTTGACGATCATGTTCATGGCGAGTACAAACAAAATGACTTAGGCCGTACGCAGTCCAGCCAGAGTACGATCAAATCTCCTTTTCCTTCACGAGCCTCCCTGATGAGCTGGGTGACCACACCAGTGTGTTCCAGACACTCCAGGAATCCCGGCCTTCTGAACAGAGGTGTCAATGTAGCAACAAGACCTGTGCTGTGAACGTAGCCTGAGAGGGGAAACCTTTATGAGTGATCATTTACTAGAATGGACAAATCAGCTAAAGATAAAGACTAACCCTTCTTCAAAAAATGTGAGCAAGAAAATAATTAACGTAAATGAGAAAATGTAACCTCTGTTCACTCAAATCTCCGGATTTTTTAAAATGTCCCTGGGACCTGCAGATGGACAAAGACAAGGCGAGACTACAGTTATACCCATTTTTTATTTGACTTTTGAGGCTCAATATTTACACCCCTTTGCTAAAGTTCACGGTGGAGTTATCAGTGCCGTGGTTGTTTATATGGCCGAGTCACTTTGATGTTATGGGAAAACAAAAAACAAAAACAACAACAACAACAACTGAGGACATATGGAAGGTTGACAACCTGTCCAGTCAACAGTGTACACACAGTATACTACCTGTACAATAATAGTGCTAATATTCACATTCATCTGTACAGTAATTATATTTACACTTATCACATTAGGGAAAAAGCCAGTACCTGAGGAGTTAAGTCCGTAATTAGCATTTACTCATTTGTTCAGCGTGGTATTAAAAACAAGCCGTTTCAAAGCAAACTCAAACAACAGAGACAACATAGGATCTAGGAGCAGGGCCAGGCGCACTGATTTGATTCTGAGCTGGTACAACTTCATTGTGTAACAATGACTAATAGTAGGCCGCCTTTGTACATCGCCGATATTGGTTTCACTCTGTGAAAGTACTGTCACTGGTGTTGTGAATGTTTTAGCTGGCAGGCAATGAATCACAGAGCCCAACCTCCAAAATTTCCAATCACACATGGCAGGAGTTGGGGGAATTTTGGGACTGGCCACTGAGGTAGGAACAGAGAGCAGATTTGTTTAGGAGTAGGAGTTTACGTAACAAGCCCACGCTGTCCTGCTCTTATCAGTAAGACAAACACTCCTTACATATAAGCAAGGAGTGATCTTATCAGATAAGGTGGAACTAAATGAAGCACTGTAATATGACACAGACAGCACTGGCTCTGAAGTGAAGCCATCCGACCTAGCCAACTAGCCAATGTTGGACGTCTAACTCAAGACTTGTCCAGTAAAAATACACAAATGCTTAGGCTTTAAATAACTTTTTATTCTCAGCATTTCTGCTCAGGGACTAATTGTATTTGATACCAATACCTTATTTTAGCACTGATAAAGTGTTTTTGTCACCAACTAATCCTGGTTTCTCAATGAGTAATCATTTACCTGTAATGTTAAGCAAAACACCAAAGAAAGACTAGAATTTTAATCTGCCAGAGTTCAACTTTTGCTTATGGGGGAAAAAAAAAAAGTTGAAAAAAAATAAACTGCTAAATTGTGTTCATGTAATTTGAAACATTGAGATTACCGCCCTAATTTTTCTAATTTCTTAACTAATTATTTAATATTTAATACATTCAGAATTATCCTTTAAATTAAATTGAATGTACAGAAGACAAAATTTCCAAGTGATGAGTGAAGGGCTTCTTATTTTAAAATATTATTATATTAAAATATTATTCATATTTTGTCCCAAATATGAATAAAAAAGTTGATGTTTTGAGTTTAGACTATGGTTCAGGAGAATGACGATGTCACAAACAACAAAATTTAAAATCAGGGAATGTAATTCTGAGATATCATAGACATAAGCAGGTAGAGAATTTTTTGTCAAGTCTCTCCAGAACATTTAGCTTTGACTTTCCATACTCAAATAAAATAACCTCCAGTATTCCTTTGACATATGAGAAGCCATGAAATAAAACATGAGGTTGTAAGAAAAGCTTGTACCAGCAGCCTTTGTATTTTCTCCAAAAAACAAACTACACATGTGAACATACTGGCCTGTTCAGAATTTACCATTCAACAGCACGAAAGATAAAACACCATGAATAAACACGTCATACAACATGTGCAGCATTTCTCCCAGGAACAAAACATCGATCAATAAATAAGAACAGAATTAAAAATTCATTAAATAATTATTGTCTTAGTTTTTTGGACCACTGCTCCGAATAATCCACTCCCTACTTACACGGTTCAGTTGTTTATTGGTTTTTCTGTTGTGAATGTTTTAGCAACTTATGTGGTCCAGCTGTTTTTCAAAAGAGGTGAAATGCAAGACTCCTGTCTCCAGTCCTCAAGCTGCTTTATGTCATCTATTTGACAACTTGGTCTCACATGATACCAATTTTCAGAACAGTGCCACCTGCAGGTACCACTTATGACGTAGCCTTTTTTTTTATTTTGGCTCCTGCTTTCTAATTGCTTCACTCCTGAAGAAAAAACCATATTAAAAATGTAAAACGTCTCATCTCTTGGATCACATCTGCTTCATTGCAGAGGTTTCTGTTATGAAATGTTGGAGCCAAGCAGCTTAGGAAGAAAGTCATTCATGTGAAGAGCCAGCAGCTTTTGTTATCTCTAAATGTAGCTATAGGGTGGACAGGGTGTGCTAGGCCTTGTAGCAGTTTCCCTGTGTGGTAAGCGCCAGCTGGCCGTTGGGCGCCACCTCTGTTGCCTCATCCTCCAGCAGGCCCGACACGTCAGCATTAGGGATGCTGTCGTGGTAGCTGCTGAAGCTGATGTTGTCTTCTTTCAGCTCTATGGTCCAGAAGGGGGCGTTGAGTTTGCGGTTGTGGTACTCTCTGTACGTGTACACACCTCCAACAAAGCCGAGCAGCACCACCACCACCAGGATGATGACTGCCAGGATAATGATGTGGAACTGGGTCCAGGAGACTTCCGTCAGTGCCGCAGTGGTGTTGTCCGTGGGGCTGCTCAGGCTGGTCGGCAGGGCCTGGGTGGTGGTCGCAGTGGTGGGGGTGGTGGTTGTGGTGCTCGCCATCACACTTGTGTTTTGGCTCAGTGTTGAAGCTGTTGAAGCTGAGGGAGCCAAAGTGGTGCTGGTCCTGGAGGATGCACTTAAAGTTTTGCTTTGTGTTGTGGTTCTGGCTGCTGATGTGGGGAGGATCAGTGGGTCTAAGAAAGGTGGAGCAGTGAAAGTGTTAATAAAAATGTATAACAATTCAACAGTATTAAATATAACTTTGACTGAATTGTTCAAACACACACACACACTTCTATATATATATACCTATGTGTATAAAAATATATATTTACATATAAGTATGTATACATATATATCTTTATATGGTATGTTTACGTTATGTTGTATGTTATATTATTAGAAAAGATTTTGGCAAAATTATGTGGTTTTCCTAATGCTTCAGGGAGCCAGAAGAGAGCACTGTCGGTTCAGCTATAACTGGGCACGCTGAGCAAACGCGTGTAGTTTATTCTTTACCCATCCACATGCAGTTGTGAGCTTTGGCATCTCCAGTGAACCCAGGAGCACAGAGCTGACACTGGTGCCCACTGGTGTTGTTGATGCACTGGAGGCAGTGGCCCGTGTCGGGGTGACAGATCTGGGCGGGGCCACGAGGGTTTGCATTGCCACTGCAGTCGCAGGGAACGCAGGCACCAGACACTTTGTGGAAGCCAGCGATGCACTTGTCACACTGTGAGCCGCGGTACTGAGGAAGGCACTGGCCACATACTGGGGAACCACTGGAACCTGGACATAAAAACGAGTGGACACAGAAACAGTCAGGACCCGAACATTTGAACAAAACAAACAAAAAAGAGAGGTCCTGTTTGGAGGTCTAATAACCACACAAAAACAAAACAAAACAAAACAAAAAATCACAGCCAGCTTAAACAAGGTCCCCTGGAATTCAAATGGGGTCACCTGAAATGTTTATCAAATTATTAAAAAAAAAAGATAAAATTTCTTTCAACCAATTAGTATTCTACGGAGCCCCTAAAGGGACATGGAGAAAAAAAAAGAAAAAAGAAACGTATCTCGTGCTCACAAGAATGTAGGGGAGACCGGGTATGGTTGTAACATGGGGAGAGTTGTAACACCACCAATTCCACCAATTAGGGATAAGATAGGAGTTATATGATCATTTCAGTGTTAACCCACTTCTTCCCCGATCCCACATGGTGGTTGTCAAGGTTGGAAACAGGCACATGCAGATTCTATAGAGAAAAAACTGATTTTGATGTAAGAACAACAACCTACCCCACAACCGTTGTTGGTTGTAACAAAGGAACTCCATGTATTTGACATCAACTTACGAGGATTGTGATATTCTTGCAGAGGTTTGAATCGATGCCATTTGTAGTAAACAAATGTGGATACTTTGTATACAAGTTTGAAAACTCTAGCTCAAAAATTCAGTGAGTTACAGCTCCTGAAGCAAAAAGTGTTACAACCATACCCGGTCTCCCCTATATCAAAGACATTTTGTCACACATACATACAGGGTAATACATTAAAATAACAAACAATCATGTACAGTACGTGCGGTTGGGAAATCTAAGATACCGGCATGTCATGTGTGACATATGTACTGTATATATGGTGAGCATTTAATTAATGTAGGATACCTCAGTTCGACACAGGAGGGCACTGTTGTTGTGCCTCCCTATCGCAACGACTGCGACAGGAGAGGAACCAGTGTATTTCGTGATAACTTTCACGTAATTACGTGATGTCTGTAAAACACACTGACTTTGCTTTGTGCATGAAATGCGCTCTATAAATAAAATTGAAATTAATGAAATGATGAAAGTCCACCTGCGAGCCAAGTATATGGCTCGTTTATATGATTCAGTTGAATTGTACTTTATGCTTGGCTTAAGGGCATGGTGAGATTTTACAATTATTGCGCTCAGTGGATGAGATTTTTATTAGTATGCGTACTCTCAGAAGGATGAGGAGGATGAAGGATGAGGATGATTTACGTATATACGTATTTACCCTTCACGAACCTCCCTACACTGTTATCAACAGTAGAACAACAACAACAACAGTGCCCTCCTATGTCTAAATGAAGTACCCTACATTAATTAAATGTACACCATATATACAGTACATATGTCACGCATGACATGCCGGTATCTTAGATTTCCCAACCGTACGTACTGTACATGATTGTTTTTTGTATGTATTACCCTGTATGTACAGTGGTATGAAAACGTTTGGGCACCCCGATCATTTTCAAGATTTTCCTTTATGTATCATTGGTTGTTCGGAACAGCAATTTCAATTAAATATATCATATAGCAAACAAACAGTGATATTTAAGAAGTGAAATGAAGTTCATAGGATTTACAGAAAGTGTGCAATAATTACTTAAACAAAAGTAGGCAGGTGCATAAATTTGGGGACCCTTGTTGTTTTATTGATTTGAATACCTTTAGCACTAATTATTGGAACACAAAATTTGTTTGGTAAGCTCATTGACCCTTGACCTACATACACAGGTGAAGCCAATCATGAGAGGGTATTTAAGGTGGCCAGTTGCAAGTTGTTCTGCCCTTTGCATCTTCTCTGAAGACTGGCAACATGGGAGCCTCAAAACAACTGTCAAATGACCTGAAAACAAAGATTGTTCAACATCATGGTTTAGGGGAAGGATACAAAAAGCTAGCTCAGAGATTTCAGCT